CTTAGTAGCTAAAGTATGTATATATATATATATCGACTTAAGCTTCATATTTACAGATAGAGCTTTGCTATTTTTTATACTAAAACTTTAAAAATTACATAATACCAGATGTTATCGTTCATATATATTTAGGGTTGATTAAACCTTATTCCATTTATTAATTAATACGAAGACTGATAATCGCTTTTAGTTGGGTAAACTTTTGAGTCTTTGTGATCTTGAGTAAATCATGGATCATAATACAACAAACTTCCATGAAGATAATTAACTGGCCTATTCTGACTATATACATATTTTTTTATTTCACGTTTTGTTATCGATTTGTAAATAGATATATTGATAATCACCTATTACATTTAGGTAAAGTAAAGGGGTAAATAAGATTGCATTCAAATAAAAAATGTATGCTGGTGGTTGGCAGGTGCGAGAACATAGCTTCTCAAGTTCAGAAGTGAATTCGTATTTTAAACTGAAATAATGCAACCCAACAAGTGCCTCAGTATTTTATGAATGAAAAACATCCATAGAAGAAAGAAATTTTATAAATATTTCTATTAGGAAGACAAATACCTAAATTATTTTGGTAGACCAAGTTCTAATTATAATTTATTGATGGCGACTTAAAACTCTTTAACCTGAAGCATAAAAATCCCTAAGCTTTCCTTTGACTTTGATTAAGACCATTGGGAAAAGAAAACCCTTCACTCCATTTATAGTAAAAGTATACAATTTACTGGGTATTTATAATTATCAAAAGTCCATTCACCACTAAATATGATATATATTTAAAATAGTGGGTTAAGCTACAGATTTTAGTGTAATCTGTCAACGTTAGAACATTTTACGTCATTGCTGAGAGGAGGGTTTAAAAAAAGTAAGGCATACCCGGAAGACGCTATTCTTTGTAGAAAGATTTCCATTCCAGGTGTTAGTGAGGAAGTCCTGACAACATGGGTGTGCCATAAACTTGATGCTTTGGCCTTCAGCAGCCAGTTTGATAACTGAACTCCTGCCGTAGTGCACAAGTTCATGATTAATAATCAGTTGAGCACGATGTTCATCCTCCCGATAGCATTCATTAAGAACTCCTTCAGCCTTCTCCTGGAAGTTTCTGTATAAAGCAAGTGGTTAAGAGCCAGCAGAAAGTAATGCTCATCAGATGGTTGAAAATGCATAGAATGACAATGAGATAATTTAATCACTGGAAGCAGCCAAAAAGTTAATCTAGGCTAAGAGTTTAAGATAAATAATATTTCTGTGAGCTATGCCAAGAAAAATATGCTCGATCTAACATGCCTAATTCCCTTCTACAGTAAAATGAATAAAATCTCAGATGGTGACAATAGTTAATAGAATATTTAATGTCGGATAAATCTTTCATACTGGAATGCTAACATGTTTACCAGGGGTCGCGTAGAATTGTAGTGTAGATATGAAGAGAAACTGACTTTCGATGCATCTCTTGAGATAATTTTGTTAGGACTTTCAGTTCGTATGAAAATGAAAGAAGAAGAGATTCGTTGGTCGATCTCACCAGATGAGGACAGATGAATCTCGTTTTTCTGCAGCCCTTTGTCTTTCATACAATATTCATGTTGACGAAGTCCACAAGACTAACTCCCTCGTTTCGGGTGAATACGTACTGATCTTTCGTCCATCATATGATGGACATCATCCGAGCTGGGTGTCATTCTTGTAAAAGTTTCACGTTAAAACTTATGCAAGGACACTATCCGGCTCTATCTTACTTCTTAGATAGACTCAATTGAGTCAACGAGATTCATTCGTCCTCATCTGGTGAGATCGACCAACGAATCTGTTCTTCATTCACTTTCATACAATCTGAAATTCCCCATAACAAGACTTGTAGCGACTCATACCCCCTTTCCTCTCCTACCTCCTTTTGTGAATGTTCGAGCTGCAAGAATTGCAGAGATATGTAGATTTAAAACTATCTCTTCATCTAGGACGTGTGATAGGGCGCACTCAGATATTCTCCCTTAAGGGAACTCGAGGAAGTCACATTTTTTTATAATTCCAATATGGTGCATGATAGTAATGTCCTTAAAACACTATAACAAAGTAAAGCCTAAACCAAGTCTTTCCAAAGTAGCTTTGCCATATTCCACGAAACTGTTGACTATTAAATACCAGTAAGAGATAAGCAGGTTGAGTCCATGCATTCTTCTGCAGAATATCCAGATGCCAATTATAAGTGGGTTTCAGCAGGAATATTTATTCCAGGGCGAAATATATATCTTCTGTATTGCCTTGAATTATAACCTGTCTAAATAGATTTATGCAAACACTCAGGTTGCTAAGTTTTCCCACAGATAGGATAAATCTCAGCCTTACAAATCAACTCATTAAAAGCATACTATATTGTTAGAAACATGATCTAGGGATTCACTACAGTGCTGGCGAAACGTCTGAGAATGTACCAAATCCACGGTCTGACTACTACAGCAGAGGACTTTGGACAAAGTGCGTCCAACTAAGTCGCCCTCCAAACACAACCAATTTGCGCAAACGCGGTCAGTCCACATCTTTACAGCGAAAGGAGACTGCGGCCACAGCATCTTGGTCTTCATATCTACGTTTAATATAATTAGGTTAGCTTGTTTTACAATAATAGCTCAAGAGTTCTTAAGGAGTCTACTTGATACAGCTTTATTTTGTATTGCTACCACGAGTCTCAAGGCTTTACGTTTAAGACAAGTCGCTTACTATATATTTGCTTTCGCTATAGATGAATCTAGTGACATCGAAGCAAAAATATGTGCATCTACAGATGACGATAGAGCTTTTGGAGTTTTCATTGCTTGAAAGTATATCTGCTTAAATGCCAGCCAGTAAAGAGTAAAAGAAACGAGAGTATGCTTAAAGGGAACCGGCAAAGTTCTCGGAAAGGACACTTCATATATAGACCTTGTGTTGAAAAGTGAAATACATTAACATTATTTAAAAGTAATATAAAATGAATACCTTTTCTTTATGAATAAGATAATCTAACATCCCATGCTATTTTAAATAATGCCAAAGAATACCCCC